TTTCATGGAGTGTTGTGGCTCAATATATATGTTAATTTAGAGATGTCAACGAGTCGGCTTGCGGCTCGTGCACGGTTCGGTTAAAAAAAAACTCGAGCTTTTTTAGCTCGAACTGAGCCAAGCCGAAATACGACCGAAATTCGGAGACATGACTAGGACTACTGGCTCAGGCTCCACCGAGCTGACTCACGAATTTTCTAATTTTTTTTTAAAATTCATGAAATATTCATGTAAAGAAGTCAAAAAAGTTATTCTCGAATAATATACAATTAAAAAAAAATATTCATATAGATACGTGAATATATGAATTAGAGTACAATTTTGAGGTGTATAAATATCTTGACATTCACTTGTAGAATTAAAAATATTGGAGTAGAAAATGTTTCTTTTTTTTAAGTTTCAACACCACAGAATAACAAATAATATTATATTAACTCCTATATAATAAAATTTAAAATTTATATCAATAAAATATAATGGGAATACTAATGAATACGATAATAAATAAAAAATATAGATAATTGTAATATAATTATGAATAATAACTATGTAAGCATATTTATATATAGGTTATACTTTATTGATTTAAATCTTAAATTAAATATTAATAAAACAAAAAAATTAAAAATTGGCAACGAGATGACCAGTACGGCTCGACGAGTTACAGGGATGGCCCATGCTCGAGCCGAGTCGACAGACTAATTGCCACCCCTAGGTTAATTTCACAACTACGAACATTTAGGGGATCAATTTTTAAAAACTAGGCAAACTAAAAATTATTTTAAAAATAAGGGGTAACTTTAGCCCCCGTTTGATAAAAAATATAATTTAGATTTTTATCAAAATCAAAGTCAAAAATTAATTTTAACCACATATTTCATGGGTGTTATAATTTTTTAACCACATATTTCATCATTTTTTATCAAAATCTACTAAAAATCTGATTTTAATCTCCACCCATCATGGGCTTAAATATATTAGTTTTTCTGTAATTTTTCGAGTAAGTATTTTTTAATAAGTTACAATGAGTGTAACTTATAATTTGTTAATTTACACTTGATTCATGTAATAAGTAATTTCTTTAAAACTCTTAACGTATATTATGTGTTGTTGATGTTACAATGTGTAATTTTTTCAAAATTGTAACTCAAAAATTATTACACCACTATCTCACCATCACCATAAAATTCAACATCCAAACTCCATCCAACCACCATTGTCATTACCACTATGAATATTACCTCATACCACCATCGCCGCCCAATTTGCATGCAACACTTTCTATATATGAAAATTTCACATTTAGATACCGATGGAGGGGGAAAAAAATTCTGCAACAAGATAGGAAAATTAACAAATTACACTGCCAAAAATATTTAAAGCTTACAATTAAAAAAACAGGTGTAAAATTTGGTTATCCAAAAATCAAGTGATAATTCCTCGTTTTAATATTAACGGATAATATTATAAATTAATTTATATACCTATACCTATCCCTATCCCTAATCCACACATCCCATCCAAACCATGATCATCTCTACACTATCCCGTCTCTCTCTATACTCTTCCTCACTTTGGACCACCACCAATGTGTATAATCTGACGAAATCCAGTGGAATCGATGGGTGTTGCTGCACAAAGCGTCGATCGACCCATCAAGAATGTGAGTACTCAAACTAGAGACGACTTCACAAATTTCAAGGATTAAAGATTTTCTTTAGTATTATCTAATGATTTGTAATGTCAATTAGTGGAGTGCAAATCAGAATCTGTTATTCCACTTTTTCAGATGCCGAAGTGGGCGGTGACAGCAATTTGAACAACTTCTTCACAATCACCATTATATTCTTTCTTTAATTCCCACTTATATTTCAAGAATTTTTTTAACAAATCATTCTCTATGATCTTTATTTTCTTAATCAATTATTTTAATTTTTTGTTAGTTTTGTTTAGTTGATTGACCTTTGCCCTCATTTCTCAGTTGATCTCTTTTGGTATAAATTCTCACGTTTCAATTGTAGATGGAGTTATGGATGTGAGGGGTTTTTGCATTCCCAGTCGATTGAATTTCTGTGATCAAATATCTTGAATACGTGACACGTTAAAATGCATGTCACAAGTCATAGATTTAAGAGATTTGGCCACCCGCCATTGGATCAAGACACAATCATATGTAACATAGCACATGTTAAGGTGCATAAGTCACATGTCACAAATTCAAGAGATTTGGTCACAAACCCATAAGATTTGTTTAGAGGCCATAAGTCACATGTCAAGTGCATATGTCATAGGTCACGAATTCAAGAGATTTGATCATAGACCATTGGCTTAAATCACATATCACAAATCAAAGAGATTTGGTCACATGCTATATGTCTAAGTGCATAGGTCACATGTCAAATTCAAGGGATCTGGTTACATGTCATTAATTTTTTTTTGACCTCATTTATTTAAATTGGTCACAAATATTAACTAGATAGCGACGATGAGATTTGAAATTATCTGCTCCGATAAGTACTCTATAAATTACACCACCAGTGGCAATTTTCAAGTTTAAAAAATCATTTTAAATTATACCGCACTACTGAGTCGTGGATGAAGAAGATGATCGATAGTCGGTGATGCTCGGTTGATGTTCTTCAACGATTGCTATATTTCTCCATCTCTCGAGTATCTGAGCCGATGATGCTCTTTCCCCACTGAGCGACAATCAATTCATCGCTGAATAAGTCGTTGGCGAGTAGGAGTTGGCGACCGTAAGAGGAAATGGTGATAGGCGGGTGCGCGAGGTGACGGTGGGGGCGGTCGGTTGATTGGTTGGATGGGTGGGTGGGTGGTTGGGTGGGGATAGATTAATTTAATTTGGTAATATTATTATTTAAAATTAAATTAGAATTAACACCTGAATTTTGTATTTTTAAACTTAATGTCTGAAAATTGATTTGGCACATTGACTAATGATTTTTTCCCATTAACAAAATTGGTGAATTTAGATTTTAGTGAATCCAAAAAGGCCCCAACTTGTACTGGGCCAAAAAAATTGCTTTAATGCAATAAAAAATTGGGGATACGTCACATTATTCAACGAAATTAAAATGCATTTTTATTCATAAAACAATGTGCAACGATCTTATTGCCACATCACTGCTACATAAACGAATGAATTATATCAGTCTATTTTAACCTGTAATATTTCCCCACTATTATTGCTATTGCTTAAGAAAAATTATGCCACTAATTTTTCCATTTCTTCAATTGAGGAAAACTATGATAAATTATTCGGTATGCAATATTGTAACAAATGCTATAATATATAATTATTTTATATTATTTACCTTCATTTTTTAAAATTTTGTAGTATGTAGTTTAATTCACGAAATAAACACAATTAAGTCTCAAATAAATTATTTGATCGTTACTTTTAGCTTCTCGAATGGTAGAATTAAAAGTATAAAATATTCATAGTGTAATTGGGGTGTATTTAACTATGAATTCCCATTGTACGATGAGGATGAGCTTATAAAAACAAATAATGAATCGTGTAGATTTATTCGATAAAAATTTAGCAAGGTTGATTTTATGTATTAGATTATATTAAATATGAAAGTTAAAATATTGTTTAACTTAGTGCTGTTCAATAGTTCATATCAGAGGAGCTCAAACGTGATTATAATGTAAATTATCACAAAAGCTGCACTTAATTTCTATGCCAAAATGACATGATTTGGCTTATCCCTTCACTTAATCGATGCCACCTAACAAAGTTTATGATGAAGAAATGATACCTAACGACATATAGAATTTTAGACTTTTCAAAGAGCAGAGTGAATAATCTATTTTTGAGCACTAAAGAAAGGTGAACATGGTGGAAGGTCACGTTTTAGATAAGACTTACTTAATCTTTACTTTAATTATGATGCTAAAAGAATTAGAACTCAGAAGCACAAACCAAAAATTATCACATGATAACAGAAGATAATCTTGTCATTAACTCCATATTACCTTTCTAATCATCATTATGGATACAAGAAAATTGTCAATGGCTTGATCATCAATGTTAAAAGAAAGAGATGATCAAGTGATTAGTCATAATTACCTAATATCAAGATTTTTGGGACATCTTTGGTATGCTACGTTAAGGGTTTGTTTGATTCCTATTTTCAACCACATATTTTTTAATAAAATAATATTTCACGCAACTTAAATTTTTTTTTTTCGTTTTTAACCACACATTCTCAATCAGTCTACTATTCCAAAATGCATTCCGAAATAATACTTTTAATTTGGTCAAAACACGTAGCTTGTAGCCTGTGTTGGCTTGCGAACAACAACTGTTTATGTGATGGTTCTTACAAGATAAACGAACATCGACATTCAACCTCGTGTGTTGTGTGGAATGCCCTTGGACACGATGTGTGTGGCAATGTAGTAAATACTTGTTGCAATGCAAGCTTCGACGTTATGTTGATTTTATGGAGTTCACAACTTTTTAAGAACAAAGTTCATTAACTTTTATTAAAATTTAGTGAAAATCTGATTTTAATCTACACGAAATAGGGACTAACCATGTTAAAAATTTGATAATTTGCAGAAATAAAACAGTACATTCTTGAAAGTTTATTACTTAGCACAAATAAAACAGTACATTCTTGAGGAAGCCCATATTAATGGAAACCGCTTTTGTGGAGTGATTGCTTGGGAATCAAGTTCTGCTAAAAGCATTGAAGAGGGATAACAAAGCTTCAACATTAAAAACATAAAAACCATCATATTTCTAGATTCAGACAAAGTAGAAATGGAACCTCAAGAATCAAAAGCAACAGGGAACCCTTGAAGCCAAAGTCTCACTGTCATCTACCTGTGCAGCCTTATCTTTTAAGCAAAACTTGACCCAAAATTCCCCCACCTAAAAATTAGCCCACTATCTTTTTCTTGTTTTAAACTCCTCTAAGAATTCAAAACCTCTAATTTCTTGCTTGGAAAACCCGATTTCTCCTTCGATGGGGTCTTTCCAAGCGCTGAATGGAACAGGAAGTTCTGCATTGCTTGAGACATCATGTGGATATTTGCTACAAGAGTTAGAGGCAATTTTTTCTTTAGTGCATATTTTGTATGCAGTATTAGATCATATTGAACATAATAATATATGTTAATTTGTTTTTCTTGTTTAATAGTGTGAAATAATTATGTCTGTTTCACTTTACGAAACATGCTATCGGTATTTTCTTACTGATATGATCATCTCTTGAATGGATTCCTGTATACGACTAGCAGATGATATGGGATGAAGTTGGAGAAGATCAATTTGAAAGGGAAAAGATTCTACTGGAATTAGAACAAGAATGCCTGGAAGTTTATAGAAGGAAAGTTGATACTGCAAACATTTCACGAGCACGACTACATCAACAACTGGCTGAATCTGAGGCCGAATTTACACACCTTCTTCTGTCACTTGGGGAGAGATCACTCCCCGGACGTGTAAGTTCTTGATCATTTATTAAAAGGCATTGCAAGTACAAGTGAAGTTAAACAATTAATGTAGCAAGTCAGAATAAAAACAATGAACACAAAATAAGCTAATCTGTAAGGACCATAACTGTCTTAGTTGAAGAAGAAAACTTCGAGGCTGATTTCTACCAAGATCATTGCTGTAAATGGAGTTAGCTGAAACTAATATATGATATTTCCATATATTATTGTTGTTAACGTAATACGCTAATTCAAGTACCTTTTTTAATGGCAGCCGGAGAAAATGACTGGAACACTTAAGGAACAGCTAAAATCGATTAGCCCAGCTCTAAAGGAGATGCAGTTTAGAAGAGAAGATAGAGTAAAGCAATTCCGAGTGGTACAAGGGCAAATTCAAAAGATTTCTGCAGAAATAGCAGGTCAGCCGGTGTATAATGATTCATTCTCAAATGTGGTGGTAAATGAGAATGATCTTTCATTAAAGAAACTTGAGGAGTATCAGAATGAGCTCGAGAGACTTCATGCCGAAAAGGTACTCAGCTCGTATCAGTTTGTGTTGCAAAGAATCTAAAAAATTAGATTTGATCAAACTAAGGATTTTAACTTCTCTCTTTCATTTTTTTTTTGGTACTTGTATCAGAGTGACAGACTCCGAAGAGTGGAGAATTATATAAGCTTCATCCAGAACTTGGCAGCCACATTAGGAATGGATTCTTCCCAGATCATCACAAAAGTACACCCGAGCCTTAATGAATTATCCGGGCTGTCAAAGAACATCAGCGATGGTATTCTGGAGAAGCTCGATAGCACTGTCAACTCCCTTGAAGCAGAAAAGCATACACGCCTGGAGAGGGTAAATTTTACCAGTCTATAGTGCTATTTTTTGCATGTTCATCTATGTATCTTGGCCGGCAACAACCGTGAACAGCATGACACGACTGGACAATACAATTTACAAGACTTTAGCTTCTATCGTTAATGTTTGGAAGGATATATTGAGATACGATACAACTGCAATGAATAATACTAGTATTTAAACTTAAGTGTTTAATGTGACTATTGCAGCTTCAACAACTTGGTAAAGCATTGGCCAACCTATGGAATCTCATGGACACGCCTAGTGAAGACCGTCAACATTTCTTTCACGTCACTAGTTTATCATCAATTTCATCGGCTGAGATATTCACTCCTGGTGGCCTAACTCTCAGCATAGTGCAACAGGTTTGTTGTTTTAGTTCAAATGAAATTTGTTCAGAGCTCGAGTTCCATGAGTGAAATTTATTGCAATTTTTTACAAGGTGGAAGCTGAAGTCAACAGGCTGGATCAGTTAAAAGCGAGCAAAATGAAAGAGTTTTTCTTCAAAAAAAAAGCTGAACTCGAGGAAATATGCAGTCGATCTCACATGGAAATTCCTTCTAGATCAGAAATGGAAAAAATAATTAACCAACTAAACTCTGGTTAGACTAACGTTCTCTTGAAAGGGTTTGGTAGCATTTTCTGATATTTATATAAATGTTTGGACTAATTCTAATGTACGAAAAGGGGAGATTGACCATGCCGATCTCCTCACAAGCATGGATGAACAGATATCGAAAGCAGAAGAAGACGCTTTTAGTCGGAAGGCCATAATGGAAAAAGTTGAAAAATGGATCTTAGCACGCGATGAGGAGCGATGGTTGGAAGACTATAGCAGGGTGAGATTCTTATCCCGTTTATATACTCATTTAGTCGAGTCTATTATTAATATTAATCTCTAACATGATGCCTATACCATGAGTTGTTTCAGGATGAGAACCGCTATTCAGTCAGCAGAGGTGCTCACAAGAACCTTAAAAGAGCAGAACGTGCAAGAATAATGGTTAATAAGATACCAGGTGAAAAACCAATTTTTCGAAGTTATTAATTCGGCTTGAGAACCAATTTTCTATGCCTAGCACGTGTAATTCTTTGACTTTTACTTGACAGCTTTGGTGGATTTGCTGATATCCAAGACCAAGAGCTGGGAAGAAGAAAGAAATAAAGTTTTCTTATATGATGAGGTGTGCAAGTGTCTAGAGTACACATTTGAATGCATAATTCTTCTAATCTCATTGAATCATACATAGACCTTTTAGTATTATATTTCGTGGTACTCAATCATGAATCGAAGAAATTAGTAAGAAAGTAATGAAGATGAGTAGAAAGCAACCGAATAGTAAGTCTGGACACGAGAATTTGTGCAGCCAATTCCAACTGATAAAAGGCTATGGTGATGTTAGTTGATTATATCGTGTTCCATATCAAAGAAGATAAGAAATCGACCATAGTCATCACAAAAAGTCTATAAAGAATGAATCCATCAAATTTGATTTAAACAACCTCATTTTTTTTGTGTGACACTAGGTTCCTCTATTGGCAATGCTGGAAGAGTACAATATGCTGAAGAAGGAAAAGGAAGAGGAGAAACAAAGACAAAGGGTGAGTAGTATTGTTTTGTCCCTTTTTAGTTATACTCGTAGAAACTACTGACACTATTGTAGAGTATTAAGGAAGAAAAGGAAGTTAAAATGTTGTTTATTGTACTTTCCACCCTTGTCGAGTGAGTTCGAAGAGGTTGTTTCTTCCCTGCAGGAACTGAAGAAGGTCCAGAGTAAAGTAAACATTGAGCAAGACATTCCCTTTGGATCAAGGCCGAGCACTAGTAATCGACGTCTATCAGATAAAAGCATGAATGGAGGTTTTGGCAATGCTAGCCCCTTACATAGAAGGGTTTCCCTTGGCATACAACAGGTGGGATCGAATAACATCAACTCACCTGCTCATGGCCTATCTTTCATAAAAGGAGGAAAGAAATCACAAAGACAAAGGATTTACGCTCAAACAGGCTTCGGTTCGCATCTTAGAGACGACACAGTGTCAGTCGTCTCGTCATTTTCAGGGCCTTTTTCACCATAGGATATGATCAATGACCCCACAACTTCCATGAGTCGTGACAGAGGAGATATAAGAATAAAAATATTCGATAGTAATACTAATATGATCTGAACATGAATAATTCTGCTTTGTTTTACAGTTGGTACAGTATCCGTAGATTTAATTCTGTTTTGTCAATAGTTTTTGTTTGCTTCATTTTGAAGGAAAAGTACAGAAATTGAAAGACCGTCCTCTTCAGCCATGGGCATTCAATGCTCGTTTGAGCTTTTTCAGATGACTAGATTGAGTTTTGGAATTTCTATCTTAAGAGGTTATGGAGTGGCCAACACCTTAGAACTTGCTAGTGCATAAAAAAATAAAAAGTATTTTCTATTAAGCCCTCGTGTGACCCTCATTAAATTATAATTCAATTTTCTCTTTTTTTTTATCAATCATACATTTTCTAATAAAATAATATTACACGTAAAAAAAATGCTTTCTTTTTTAACCATACATTCTCCAAAAAAAATTACTATTCATCTCATTATAATAGAAAATAATAAGGGCCAAACGAGGAGTAAACGTAAGGATTGATGACACTTGCCATGTCCGGAAAAAATATATAGAGAATGCAATGCATGTTAAGTCTGTCTCTCTTTGCGGCCACATCCGATGCTAACAATGAGCAAGTATAATTCTAGCAAAAAAATTCCTCCTCTTGTGGGAAGAGACTTTGAAAGAAGGTAAGAAAATCACTCACCAATTAGAAGTGCAAATCGCGCAAGCGAAGGTACAACAAAGCAGCGTCAAGGAGTCGAGACGGAAAGGTTTTGAGCTTGTATGTCACTCAAGGACTCACAAATCTCAAAGGGCCACCAACCATCGAAGTCATTGCAACAAATAGTCATTGCAACAAATAGTCCCTTTACTCAATGAATATTACTTATTTTCTTGCAATACATCTTTGCCGCTATCAAATGATCAATGATAACATTACCCGAGAAATTTTGAAGTGCCTTTTCCTTTGAATTGTAAGTGTTGGAGTTCAAACAACTTGAATATCAATTTTTTTAATCTTAGTGATATCCCTTTCTCTTAGGATCAATGCGTGATATCAACAGTTGATGTGTCGTAAACTTTGTAGTTAAAAACAATAAAATATTGAATCCAAATAAACGTATAATTAAAAATGTAGTTTGATCGTGTTTTTAGCAAACAAAACTTTTACCAAAAAGCACTTAATAACAAGTGATTCAATGTAATTGATAATATTTATTATTCAAAAAGGAAAAAAAAATAAAATCCAAATTGTTAATTTTTTATTTTACTTTCCTAGATAGTGATTTGCATTGGATACCACTAAATTCAAATTCCAATTCCGATTCAAGACCCTATACGTCATCTGCCAGCGAGTAAATTTTTATTGGGTCTGTGGCTTCAAATTCTTCAGATTCTCGTCACGAGGGCCCATACTTTCAATAAATTCAACCCGCTCTTTTCAACATAATTAAAACTATTCCCACTAGGTTAGAATCGTCGTTACTTCCTCAAGTAAAAAGTTGCAAGAGTGGGAAAATATTTACCCGACCAAGTTCGTTCATCCTCATATATTCATCCAAGCATTGGAGGCAGTCGATATTGGTTATTAACAATGTAAAAACAATCAATTGATGATAAAAGTCTTTCATCAGAGTACCAGATATATTATAAAAAATAAATTATTTTTCACATTTTTCCATTATTTTATTTTATTTTATGTCCTATTTTTTAACGATGCATTCTTTAAAAAGTTGTGCGGTACTTAATTTGAAATAAAATATTGGATGAGAATGTAAACTATTCATAATTTGAGGATACGTTTGAGTAATTTAAATCCTCAACAAAGAAGGGGCTCCCTTGCAATTTCATATGTCAGCGAGGACAAAAATTTATCACACACGGGCAGACAACAAATCGTAAATTAAGGGAAAATGATAAATTCCTTGCAGAATTAAATATTTTACAATTAAATTACAACTTTCGCTCATTTTCTTCAGACAAATTGAGCAAAAATTTCACAAATTTCGGATTCCTTTTTTTCCCTCTTTTTCTGAATCCAATCTGTGGAGGGAAAAGTGAAAATTTCAATTCTTTTCTGGTGAAACCCTAGCAAGGTTTATCACTTTCACTTCTCTGAATTACTGTACAGTTTTGTGCTGCTTCTGTTTCGCGATCTCCTCAATTCAAATCTCAAGTAAGAGTTTTTTTAACTTGTTTTCAGCTTAAATACTATCTCTTCATATTTGTTGTTTGATAAATTGTTTTGCTTGCTTCAAAATCACGTATTTACAATTCTGTATCACTTCTAGTTTGGGGCTTGCTGGTTGATAATTCTGTTTGAAAAATCATTTTTTCAGTTTCACGCGATTGATAAATTCCGGGTTAATTGGTTTCGAAATTTAACTTGTACTGCAAAAGCGTGGGTCGTGCAAAGCTAAAATCTTGGTTGTGTTAAAGGAAAACAAAATAAAGACATATTCAGTAGGCTCAGCATGTGTGAGTCTAGATTTTTTACTTCGGTTTTAAGTGTAGTGGTAAACATAAGTAATTTGATGATTGGAAGTGTGCATTCTGTCATATGCTCCTTCTTGCTATTTCCTAATAAAAAAGTTGGAGGCCAAATACAGTTCTGTTGAGTTAGAACAGATGTTCAATAATATTTCCATGGTCTCTTTTTTGGCATGATGACATTATTCCTTGAATTATACCCTGTTAATGCTTACAACCAGTATATTAGGTCATCTGACATCTCAGCTTCGACTTGGTTATTGCTGTTACAAGAAACTGTATACTTGGCTGCATTCTCAAAGTGTGGATTGTCATCTTTATAAAGGAATTTTGGTGAAGCACTAAGTATCTCCAGGGTGAGAGGCTCCCTATATGAAAGATGCAGACCAAGAAGAAAGTAACAGGAAGGAGTTCTCGAGAGCTAGCCAGCCCAAGGGTTTCAAGACAGCAAAAGAAGCTATCTGAAAATGTGCAAGTTCAACCAAAGAAAGTTGCAGAGCTAATCACATCTTCTGCTAGGAAGAAAAAAGCTGGTAAGCAGGCCTGTTCAGTCGATATCATGTACGCGGCCTTGAACATATTCTTTATTGTCACTGAGCATAAGATGCTGGGTTACCAATTTTACAGTAGAACTATTTGTATATTGAAATAGAGGGAAGTTTACTTCTCCCTATATTATTTCTGTACTGAAATAATGGCCTCTTCATTTTTAAGAACCTCGTGCCACTTCATCTATATTTCTGAAATTTTTCATTACAAACTTTTGAAATCCTTAACTTTTATCCCAAGAACATTATATATTCTCAAATTCATGATTCTATTGGTGCAATTATATATCTAGCAATCAGTTTTTTATTTTTCTTACCTATGTCTCTGTGCCATTGGCTTCATTTAAGCCTCTCCATATCACTTCTGGTGCATTTAATAGTAAATCCGGTATGTGTGTGATTTCATGAGGGACCCGTATTGTGCATCTCTTATTGTTTGGATTTGAAAGTGTACTAACATTTTCCTTGTTGCTATTGTACGTTCTAGTTGGTACTCTTGCTAAGACTATAGAAAAGACTGTTGCTGGAACAGATTTGGATACAAAATTCAGATTGGTGGATGATGATGATGATTCCACTAAGTGTATGGGCTATGAAGCTGACCATGACTTCAATAATGCTTTTATTGACAATGAGGTAACATCATGCATTGTTTATTCAGTATTTCTTGTCTTCAATCCAACATTAATACAATAAAATATTCTGTACGTAAACTTAAAATTTTTCCCCACTTTTTAACCAGACGTTCTCCAAAAAATCATTATTCAAAACATTACTTCCCCAAATTTCTCTTTATAATGTCCATCAAATATGGGCTATGTTAAAATGGGCAAGTGGTTGAATTTGTGTTGAATATTTTTATGTATTGGTAGTCTTTGGACTTTTTTCTCTGTATCATAAGGTTCAATTTGACTGTTATGACTTGTTGGATTTCTTTTCAATTGTCAATTTAGGGCCATAACAACGGAACTGCTCATTGTGTGGCGGAAACTATATTTTCTCCTGCCTTTCATCTTACAAAAAATTCTGGAGGTGAAATTTCAAGTGCAGGTACTTCACAAGATTGATAGTTTTTTTCTTTTATGTATATCGCTTTGCACTCTCTGTTGTCTCACGTTTTTATTTCACTATGCATATGTGATTCCCCCAGCAGACTTCTTCAAATTCTTTCAGCATGGGAACCATCAACTACAGGATTGTGGAGAACAAAAAATACAGACTGATTGCCATGGTATAATGAGCGTAATTACTGTCAAATCATTTTTCGCGTATTTGATGGGACTATTAGTCTAATAGATAATTCAACAATATTGGACTATTAGTCCAATAGATAATATTCAACAATATTAGGAAAGATAATTAATTCAGAATCTTGTTTATTATAATGTCAAGGCACTTTATGTTTTTATAAGCATTCAGAAGTGCCCTTCATTACTAATGTTGTGGTCTCATGTTTAGCAGATTTAGGTGGTGTTGGCCTATCATCTGAAGTTTCAGCTATATATCTTTCCATGAGAAATTCAAACCTAAAATGTATTGATGAAAATAATCAAGATCATATATCAGCTGATGTTTGTCAAGAAGATGTGGAAGGTGAAGAATTTGATGATTTTGATCCATATTTTTTCATAAAGAATTTGCCTGACCTGTCCTCGATTGTCCCGGCATTTCGGCCTGTGCTATTGCCCAAACAAACGAGAAGCTGTCCATCAACAACTCTGGTCCTGGACTTGGATGGTAAGTCCATTAGAATTATTTGCCTTTTCTTGGTAATGTTTTTTTTCCTTGTAGAGATATATGTAAAGAACTTGCTCTGAATTTGCATGGAAACTTTCAAAAAATGTAAAGGTTGATAAAATATTAGACAAGTTTGTGTTTCTTCTTATGGGAGACTTTACAAACGACCTGTAGTTTGGATTATTTGAACAGAGTGAAAAGATAGAGTTATTCCTAAACACCAAGTGTTGATATAAAATTAGTTGGTATATTAAATATAATAAATTCTTATTAAATACAGCGAGTATTCTTAAATTCCACTAGGTAACAAAGTTATTCTTCTTGACAGAGACTTTGGTGCACTCCACACTTGAACCATGTGATGATGCAGATTTCACATTCTCTGTTAATTTTGACCAGACGGAGCATACAGTATATGTGCGATGCCGTCCTCATCTCAGAGATTTCTTGGAGAGAGTTTCCAGTCTTTTTGAGATTATTATATTTACTGCCAGTCAAAGCATTTATGCCGAGCAGCTTCTGAATGTGCTAGACCCAAAGAGGAAAATATTTCGCCATCGTGTTTATCGGGATTCTTGCCTGTTTGTTGATGGAAATTATCTCAAAGATCTTTCCGTTCTTGGTCGTGATTTGGCACATGTTATTATAATAGATAACTCTCCTCAGGTAATGGTGGCTGGCTCTTTCTGCCGATATCTGAACTTTGCTCTGTCACGCAGTTTTTTCATTAATTTTTCCTCGTCTGCCAAGTATCTGACCTGTTAAATTTTTCGCCTTTTTGCCTAGGGGTTGTGTGACAAAGCTTTTGACAAATGTGTGGTTGAAAGTTGATCAAAGTTGTGGGTCTCGTGTGGTAAAATAGAAGTTTGACCAGTTGAAAAGATTATAAAATTTTAGCGAAGTTTTATCAAACAAGTAGTTAACGTGTGACTAATGGACTCATATATAAATAGAAAAGCACGTTTGTCTAAGCTTAAGACTTATATGTACTTGCAAGCAAATAAGTTCGCTCCAAAATAATTATTTTTCATATAGATCAAAGTCAGAAATTAGTTACTCATTGCAACATTGTGGTAAAATATACTCTCAAAATAAGTTACTTTTACTTTTTTTTAAGCTTAGCCAAACATCCTCGTGCGTTATACTCACCCTTCTAATCACTGGACTTCTTTTAATTTGCTCATTAGCACAAATGAAGGTCACTAATTTGGCTTATGTTATTATCTGGTAGTAGCATCATGCAATCTTATATTATTATTTTTTCCTGGTCGATGGTTTATGCATTTCTGCTTTGAGTATTGAATATTTGGGGGTCTCTTCTGAAAGAAATGTGTTCACTTCAAATCAAAGAACCTGAAATTTGATGATTTTATTTCCAGGTATTCGGTTTCCAGGTGGACAATGGAATACCCATTGAAAGCTGGTTTGAGGACCGTTGTGATACAGAATTAATATCGCTACTTCCATTCTTAGAAAGTTTGGTTAGAGTTGAAGACGTAAGGCCCCTGATCGCCAACAAATACAACCTCCGAGCAAAAATAAATGCAGCAGCGTGTCCTTTTAACTACACTGGAGGAGATCCTTTTGATAGATAATTTGAGTCAGTTCAACTGCTGTGCCAGTGCCACAAAATAAAGAAGGAAGAAATCAAAGTCGAAAGATGAAGGCTAAGAAGAATATGATCTTGAGGACTGTGCTGCCTGGAAGACTTGCATACCTCTCTGTGCTGGTAGATTGAGATTTTAACCGATACAATTTCATCAATCACTTTTATTGGAGGATAATAAGTTTTTTGCTTTTTTGCTTTTTTTTTTTTTTTTGTCAAATTAGCTGTCATGACTTAGCTTGACGAATGATTCGAAGTAATTAAATTCGATTTAACGCTATCTCACAGTCGATCATATTGAAATCTAGAAATGTATTGACAACAAACTTTAAGAGGCAAAATTTATTTGAAATTTGTGGCTTCATCACCTTGATTTAGTCGTGCCACTGACTTGCTCCCTTGATGAATCATGGGGTTGAACTATATTAGGATCAATAATAACAGGAAAAAAAAAATAGACAATACTACATTTCTAATAATATTAAAAGATATTACTTCATATTTTAAAAATATTACGAATTTCCTTTATTTCTATATTACATGCATCACTTTACCACTTTTTGAGTTATATATTCTCTAAAATAAAAATGATATATCTAAAATGTCGTCGTGAAGAAAAAAAGAATTTATCTGCCAAGGAAAATGCTAAGTGTACATAATAAATGTACATAATGAATGACATAATGTGATGTGGCAACCATCCCGTCGTTGATGTAAAAGTGTCAGATTTGAATAAAGGTTTGATCAATGTCACTTGTAATTATGTAGACCATTATGTGGACAATTATGTTCTTGTAGCATCGCTATATCTGCAATTGATTAAAATTTCGTGTATTTTTAGGTTGGTGTGGTCTACTGTTCTTTCCTTGTGCCTATTTTGCTGTAAGGGGTGTTGTTGCCTTTTAGGATGTTAGTCAAAATATGTTGCATAGATTTACATTCAATAATCCCATGGACTTTTAGGGGATTACCCGGCTTGTTCTTAGATTGGCCAATTCTCCAACGCCCTTTCAAATGAGAATTGCTATCCTATCAGTCGAGTGCTAATGCCCTCGGTCGGTAGTCGAAATTTAAACCTAAAATTTGTTGAAGAATTTGATAATAAAATTTAAGTGTTTAATAAATTAATTGTGCGTGTCTATATATATATTAATCAAGGGTTTAGGGTTGCAATATTTCAAAATAAAATAAGTAGATTTAGAGATTAATATTAAAATTATATCAAATATACTCTGTATATATAATATGTCAAGTTATATTCTTATAATATACTCTTTAAATTAATTGAAGTAGAAATTCATCTTTTATCCGCAATGGTATTTTATGTATATCGGCTTCATTTTAAACGACACGTGACATAAAAAGCTTCAATGCGTATCAACGTATGTGATACTCAAATCTAGATATACGAGAAGTCAATGATATTTTTAAAATGTAAAGGGAATGTCTGATATTATTAAAAAAAAAGCGTGAATAATATCTATGATATTCTCTAGAAAAAAATAAAGTAAAGGATTAAGTCCATGTTTGTCTACCATTATTCCAAAAAATTGTTTGCTACAGTAAGATTCTCCACCACATATTTATCCAATAAAATATTCTACACACAAACAAATGAAATTACTTTAAATTTCAACCAGACATTTTCCAAAAAATATAATTCTCCACCACACATTCATCCAATAAAATATTTTACACACAAACCAATAAAATTATTTTAAATTTCAACCACATATTTTCCAAAAATATTATTCATTACTCTATTTTTCTCCCAATATGGGAGACAAACACACCCTAAGTTTTTGTTTGATTGTTTAAAAATCAACTTTTTAATAAATTTTGATCAATGTTAATAAATTGCGTGATTAAGAAATTAATAATCTCATGAAATATATAATTAAAATTAATTATTGACTCAATTTTTTATTAAAATTTATAATTAAAATAAATAAGGGAGCTAAGTGAGATACTTGCCTAAAACAAGTTCCTTGGTCGGATCAATGCCCGTTTAAATCTATAAATTCTTGAAGGTACATCAACAAACGCACATCGGTACGAATAGGCACAACTGTAATGATAAATTTCGAGAAAATAAAGAGCTTGTTTGGGGAGAAATTAAAATCCAATTAAAATTAAAAATATAGTCGTTATTGGGTCCCACTCTTCTAATAAAATTCAATAATAACAGCTAATTTTTCAATTTTAATTCGATTTTAATATCTACAAAACACACTCAAAATATGAGAAACAAACTCAAGAATTTAGTGCGCGTTTGACAATTATTAAAATAAATTTTTTTTTTTTTTTGAGAAAAATGATTTATGAAATAGTAATTTTTTTGAAGAGTAAATAATTGAAATGTAGAAAAAAAATTTGATTTTACGTGGAAAATATCATATTGTAAGAATACAATTTTAAAAATAAGTTTTCATTAGGCAAACAAGGCTAATGGACTCGAGATATTTCCATCCCATCAAGATTAAATCCCCATGTACAGGGGGTCTTATAGACCCATCACAAGGGGCGGCCACACATGTATTAAAAAAAGAACAATGCTAGGGTTATATCAATTTTGACAGTCATCTCACATATATTTGGTGGGGTCAATGATTAAAATAATTGTGGGCCCCACTCATGGGAGAGGGCTGTGAAAATTGCTGTACAATTTTGACTGTACATTAAGCATTTTTATAAAAAGAAAGAAAAAAGGCAATACTAGGTATACATAATATATGTACATAATAGTGTACATAACTCTCACGTGAGATGAGACCCACCCATGGAAATAATCAAATAAAAAATTGGGCCGATCCCACCATATGTGTGGTCGGTAAACGCTCCGAAAAAAAAGTGAAAATTACACCATTCCCTACATTTGAAAATTCAATTTCTAAAATCAGATTTGGTATTTTAAGTTTCAAAAATCAGATATTTAAATGTATAAATACAGATTTTTTATATTTAATTAAATATTATGAAAATTAAATTATATGTCCCACCCACCCTTAAAATTATCAAACCTAATCAATGTTCTAA